AAAAAAAAAAAAAAAAAAAAAAAAACAACAGTGTATAGAAACAGAGAAAGAGAAAAAAGAAAGGGATGTGCCTTGCTAGGTGCGGCTGGGCTTCGCAAATGTAGCTCCATCAGGGGCCCGAACTGCCCAGTACAGCGTCAGGATTCGGCCCTGCCGCATCGATGGTGAAGCGATCAGTTCTTTCGGAGAACTACTGGTAGAAGACTGCTGCATGACGTCTGCAACGGGAACCAAAAATCAAGACCAAGCGTCGTAGTCAATGATGTTTGCAACCTCGCACGTCTGCTCAACTCCCAATGCAAACGAGATCCGCCCACTACTCCGGAAGACAGCAGCCAGAAACATAGATCCCGAAGCACTCAACTTTTTGTCACAGCCTGACACCGTCGGTGTCTTACCGACGGTTGTCACACCTGAGAGGAAGTTGTGTTTATACATCTCCCATCTACTCGGACACTTAGCCGGCGTCTTTACAGCTACAACTAACTCCAGCCTGTCCCGAGTTCAGCTGGTTCGAAAGGCATCATGCTAGCTACTGCCTGGTGTCAGCATGAAGCTGCCATGTGCAGGGACGAATTCGTTCAAAGTGGCACGGCCGCAGCTCGAAAGGGCTGCGCCCGCAAGGGGCCACGTGTCTATGCGGCGTGCGTCCCGAGAGGCCCCTCTCCTGATGTTAGGCTACCAGGCCGAGCGTTCACATGAGAAGTCGGCGACCGTCGCCGAGCTTGGCAGTCTGACCAGGTGCACCAAACTACTCGGTAGCAAATCCACTCGCACGCCACCCGTCGCCTCGAGGCACTTGTATTTGTCAGGTGTTCCCGGCCCACCGTTGCCCCCGACACGCAAGAAGCTCCAGCAATACTCGCCTGCACATCAGGGCTCTCGGCTTGCTGCTAGCATCCGAGAAAAGAAAGAGAAAGGGACTCTGAGATCTGAGAGATCCCTCCTGCCGGCAAGTTGTGGCTGTACTGCAGGCAAACCTCAGACGGCGATCGCGGGCTCCGCGGGATTCGAACCGTTCGAAGTGCTCCCACTCCCTTCTCAAGCCAAGGCTCGTAATTCGTCAAGGGGACCGTACCTCCGATGCCCTCTTGGCGGGTCCAGACCCTGCAGCGGCCGTCGTCTCCCTCACTGTACTCGATGCCTGCGGGGGGGGGGGCCGCGAAAGCAAGCCTTGGGCCTCTTAGCCATGCTTCTGAATCGAGCCTACACACTTCACGTTGTAGATGCACTTGGTCTTGCACACGTCCAGCGAAGAGCAGCCGTAAGACTCCTTTACCGCTCAAACACGGCATGTCAAACTTCCACCCCCGGCAAACCAAAGCCCCCAGCACTTCCAACATCACTTGAGGGTCACCTCCTCTCCTGCCTACATCGCAATTTTCAGTGCTGCCCGCTTTGTCTCGATTCCCTTTTGCAGCTGGGCTGGCGGCCAGCGAATCCAGCCTCGCTTTGAAGCTCAACGATGCTGGCTGAGATTCCGAATGTTTCCAACGTGTTGAATTTCATCCTCGACACTTCTGCCGTCACTTCTGCCTCTGTTTACATGTTGCCTGCAGCATGTCCACTTTCCTTCATCCTGTCTTTGTTTGCATCGCCTCACAACTTGCCTGTTGCGTCCTTCGTACATCTCCCCACGAGCAACGTGGACCACGAATTGCACTGTGATTTGGATTGCTCCTCGTAGTAGGCGGGCCCGACGTCTGCCGGCGAGGTTCCCACGCAGCCCACGTTTTCGCCATGGCTTCCCTGAGCCGGCTTGAAGGTCATGAAGGCCACCTGAGAGGGCGCGAGGCCTAAGAGCTGAGAGCTGGGAGCTGGGAATCCAAGGGCCGAGACCGGCCGGGTCGCCGCGGTGTCCTGCAAGTCAGGAATTCTGGGCCTTGTTTGTACACAAAAAACGGCTTAGGACTTAGGACGCGCTCGAATAGAGACTTCCTCGCCGGCAGCCAGGGCTAGGCACAATGCAGCGAGGCGGTACATCGTGCCTTGCTTAGGATGCTGCAGCGGCAGGCGAAACACTGAGTCGAAGTGAAAAAAGGCACCTTGAATGCGTGCAAGGCGCGGCGGCGCAGGCACTGGCGTTCTCTAGGAGCACTTGGGCAAAGCACGTGCTGCGGGAACAAAGAACGGGCAAGCCAAGCCAGTCATCCGGCTCCAAAGATCCGGATACACACTGCGAGGCAGAGAGACACATTCACGCGAAGCTGCGCGGCTCTAGATGCCAGGGACGCAAACGGCAGGAGCCGTGACAGAATGCCGCCGAGAAACATAGAATATTTCCTTCACTTGCATGTCCCGGGAATTGGCCCCCTCGGCTGACAAAGCAGGAAAGTCTCCACATCAGGTCTGGGCCCCAACAGTCGAGGCGGTCTGATTTAGCTCTATGCAACTGGGCCGACCAATTATACCTTTTTTTGCAATATCACCAAAAGCGGGTCGTTGCTTGAGTTTCTAGCCAAGCGATCCCCTGGCTTCGCTTCCTGGGCTCTTGGCCACTTACTGGGGGTTGTGTTGGAGGAGGGTTGGGAAAGCCAGGGTGCGATGATGCCCTCCTTCAGCTGCGATGCTTGGCGGGCTTGCTTCTCATCATTGGTGTGACTGGCTTGAAGCTGTGGAAGAGAAGCCCAAGCATGAAAAAATGAATTCAAAGGCTGAGCATCCCAGAAGCCGGGGCCTACCGACCGCTTCAAAACGCATCCAGGCGACTGCAGCCGGACCCCAATGCGCACTCTGGGAAAAGCTGGGCCAAAAGCGGCGGTGCAGGCACTTCTCTTGTTGTAAATAGTAAGGAGTGATGTGGGACCTGGGTTGTGTGCGGTAGCCCTAGAAGTCGTCACGAAAGCAGAAGTACCCATGGTAGCACGGATCCTGGTCACAAATCCGATGCTTCCCGCTGACCATCAAGCTCTCTGTGCTACGAGTTTCCAGTACTTGTGGCCTTCGATTGCCAAACCGACTACCGACTACTACACAATCCCAAGACTCCGCAGGTGGCACCTTTCCTCCAGGGACTGGAAGTCAGGACCTTCCAAGCCAAGGACGCTTGGAGCTTCTTGGAGCTTCGTGCTATGCGTCGCGCTTTCGAGAGCGGGTTTCCGGACCCCCTCGACTCCAAGGCCAAGATGCCCCTGGAAACGCTGGGGATGCAGCTTGTGTAGGGGGTCTGGTGCTCCTCCTGCAGATCTGCGCAACACCCAGCCAGGCCTCCCGGCTCCCGGTCCTCGCCGACATCGCCGAGACTGGAGTCTCCGCCCGAAGCTGCGGGAGACTGGTCGGCACGACCTGAGTCATCCTTGCACAACCCCAAAACGCTCCGTGCCAGCTGAAGGATGCAAAATGGGGCGACCATGCATCCAACACGGACAGCTATGCCAGAACAACGCAGCTCTACCTGAAGCCAGATCTTCGCCTTTCGATGTCCCAATTAGTCGACTACTGCGCACCCCCCAACCACCATGTCCTGAGCTTGTCACCGACCAGAATGCTTGGTCTCAGGGTTGAGGTCGGGGCTCAGTTGCCCCCGCACAGCTGAAGCCGCTTCAGGTAACTCGTTGATGCGGCTGCGCAGGGAAGGCTGGGCAGCCTGCAACAGAGAGGTGCTGAGAGGTTCCGTGCACATCCGCCAAGAGTCAAGGCCACAAGCAAGATTATGCTGGTATGTCACGGCACCGGCTGTCCCCTCCTTGCGAAACTAAACTCTACCGATCGCCAGCCAGAGCTCAGTGCTCATGTCTCCCCATGTAGGGAGCGCAGAAGAGGCCGAGAATCGACTTGGATGGTGGTCGGACTTATCGACTGGCCGCTGGGCACCACTCATAGAGCCGGAACCGAAGATCCCAAAAAGGACGTGGCAGCTGCTTTCGGGGCTCTGAGTCTCTGAGGCTACACGAACGTGCAAAGAAGGCCTCGAGGGCTTCATCCCAGCCACGTTCCTTCCGCAAAGCGTTGGTCACTTCCACCACCTGGGACCTGTCGACACGTCGTCTCCTCTAGGGCATCTCTGAGCACTCACTGCCAACCTGAAGTGCGACTTTTTCGCGGCGAACCCGGCGATGAACTCCCACCTGTCAGAAACAGTCGACTTGACAACCGACTTGACATGAGGTTTCTGCGGCGCAATTCGGGTTCCCGGCACCATTGGTGCGTGCGCCACCTGACCTCGCGTGGCACTGAAGGTGACATCACCCATGTAGACACCGCAGGACACAAACCACTGGGGGACACCACTGGCCAGTTGCACGGGATCTGCCGCAAGCACAGCTAGCCTGAAGGGCAGCAGATCATGGGCCTACTAGCAACAGGCATGCACCCCTGTCCAAGCCTCAGAACCCGAAACTCCTCGTTGGCAGCCATGAAGGTCTCCTTTTGTACCACCTCCTCTCCAGCTATGCAAGGAAGTGCTGTGGCAATTCGAGGGCAGGGTCGCCTGGAGCACTTCCCAGCTCGGCCACTCCACATCTTTGCTCGGACCTCCTGGCAGAGCAGCGGCAGAGCCCGGCAGAGCCCTATAAACTTTTAGGGTCCGGGTGCCACCTGCTCGTGGCTTCTCAGCCTTCTTGGTGGCCACGGCCACGGCGGCAGGCGCAGCTGGCACCGCAGCCAAGGCCTAGCAAATCGCTTCCTTGACGCTAGTAGCCGCTCTGCATTTTCCAAACAACACCTTCTTGATGTCCGCGTGAAGCGCAGGATCGGCTGCCTTCTCTTGCAGCTCCTCTCTGGCGCGTGCATGACAGCTACCGACGGCTTGGGCACCAGAGAGAATGTCCTGGCTGCTGGCATAAACCTCCCGCCACCTGGGCTGTGCCAGCAAGGCCTCGACCACTTGGCAGAGGTGTGACCTCTCCGAAGGCAAGGCTTCGCGGGGAGATTGCCAGAGATGGAAGTCTGAAGTGACCTGTAGAAGGGCTTCTTTGCTCCGAAGGCCAGGAGGAACCTCGCCCAGGCCGCGCTGAGTACTTTTATAAACGGGCTCTCTGCGGCTCGGCTCTCCGTCGTCCGAGCGGCTCCCAGGCCAAGGGCGCGCGCGCCAGCTGCGCGGAGAGCTCGGAAGCATCGGCTTTCTGGACCAAGCCCTTCAGTGCCGTGAACTCCTCTCCCGCAGAATCACTCCAAAAGGGCGAAAGCACTTCAGGAAAGAGAGTCCCGGCCAGGCCTCTCAGAACACTTTTTCAAAGGGCCGCCGCTGGCTGGACGACTACGAGTCTCGACAGGCAACGCAGATAATCATGAGTTCCGTACTCCATACAACACCCCTAAAAGGAGTCAAACCTGCAAATGCTCGGAAACCCGGTGGCATTGCAGCGGAAAAGCTGGAGGGGAATAGAAAAAGCATGCCGGCTCGCACTCTACGGCCTACGGCTGGCAGACTCTTCCTCTCTCCTCAGAACTATACACCCGCACCACCTGAGCTCCGCTTAGAGAGAGATGAGTGTTTTTCTGGTCTTCGTGCTCGAGCTCATCTGATCTTGTGCACCCACAGGAGCTATCGGAATTGCCATGGTGGCATCATGCTTTGGTTCCGCTGGCATGGTCTTGCCAGTGCCCTTGTCTTTGGCTTTCGTCTGGGACATTTCGGGCGGGCCCTTCTTCTTGCCATCCGCGTGCAGCTTTAGGAGCTCCAGGACGTGCTCATCTTGAAGCCAAGCGCCCAGAACGTGGGCCTCCTCATCTGCCTTCGGTTTGCTCTCCTTGCCCTTCTTGGCCTTCGCATCCTTGGACTCGGTTCTTTCTTTCTTCTCTTTGAAAGCACTTGGAGAGCGGCTCCTGGAGAGGGAGATGAGCTTCTGGACGCGAGTCTCGACCTCCTGGCTCTCGGTCGGAGCTTTCGCTCTGTAGTAATCGTCCAGGAGGTGCGACTTCGATTTCTGCCCACCGCTGTCCATGGCAAAGGCCATGGCGCCGCTGGCAAGAACTGAGCGGTGTCTTTTTCGCGTCCGTTGTGTGCTTTGGCTTCGTGCTTTTGCGACGTCGTAGTTCGCTCGTGTGGCACGGCCTTTGGGTGCCTACGATATGCCTTGGCCCCGTTCGGGGACGGCTGCGGGAGCGAAGAAGGACCCTGAGCTGCCCACTTCAGTGCTGACAAGAGGCCGAAAGTAACGTTACATTGCCTTACATGCAGGTCCTCGTTTGCAGACATGTAACTGCCGTCCTGGCAAAGTCTCAGCAGGCCAGGCCTAAGGACAGAACCGACCTGTCCTGAACTATCTTCTCCAGGCGGCCCCACAGGTCCCACTCCGCATGCGCCATTGCAACAAAAAAACCCTTCCACTCTACGAGGACTGGATCTGCAATGATGCTACCAGGCTGCTACCATGTCTACGCCTCAATTCACCTTCAAGTCTTTTCGCAGGCATCCCCTCCACCCCCGACTGTAGAGCCGTGCGGAGGAAAGTGAAAGTTCCACCTTGGATCTGACTTCAGATGCCCTCCGCTTTTTGACCGCACGCACCTCGCTCGGCTCCCGATCTTCGGGACACCTGGTAACTTGTGGCTACACCTGACGGGGGGTAAAGGGCTGGGACACTGAGTCGGGGATAGACGGGACATCAGATCAGCCTTGCTGCGCAGCGCTCAGCCGTACTTGAGGCGGAAGTGGCGGTTCTGGGCTCAGAAGAGGCGAAGAGGCTCGGGCTCGGGTCAGGAACTTGGAGAGTCTGGGCTCGCGAACCCGACCACCATCCTGCTTTCGTCGCCGCTTCCACCGGCGGAAATCCTTCCGTGTGTTCAAAGCCTCCATCGAAACTTGCGATGTGCCAAGGCCGATATCCAAAGCAAGAGCGGAAGGCACCTGACTGTGCCAAGAAATGACGAGACGGTTCGGAGCCTCCATTGCAGGCTTCTGCAGACGTCCATCCAACTCCGTGAGTCTTTCCTCGGGCAGCTCAGGACCTCAAGTCCGGACTTTGGCAGGCGTTCGCACTTCAGCGCGGTCTGATTAACTCTGACGACTTGTGTGAGCGACATAGCAGGACCTTTCTGTCTCAATCTGCCAGCACTGCATTCGAAGGTCTGAACGGCAAACCCTGCCCTATCCACAAATACCCTACTCTAGCTTCCATCGCTTCCGTTTCGCTTCGCTGCCTGGCAGAACGAAGCGCAAGCCAGCAGAAGGCCCTGATTTCCATGGCAGGGCGGCGTCGGCTTCCTGCCAGACGCCTGCAGGTGTCCTGACGGAGATGGGCTCACGCCCCTGTGCGGTCAGCGCAGTCCTTCACGCGAAGTCGCTGGGTGTCTTGCCTCCTGAGTGCCTTTACGGAGTCAGCCGAAATGCTCTGGAAAATCTGCCTGATGCGGTACGCGGATTGAGTACGCACGCACAAGGGCTCCGAGTATCAAGCACGGTTCCCACTTCCCTGGGGCCTCTCTGGAAGCGCTGGAACCGAGCCGAGGGAGCTGAGGGGCCGCTGCAAGCTGGCAAGGCCGCTGGCAAGGCCTTCGGTAGGCGCAGCTTTAAGGTTCCCGGGCTCCCCTGAATTTCCCTTTTGGGTTTAGCCCCGGGCCTCGGTGCAAGAGTTGCGGGCGCATGAAAGCCATGGTGGCAACTCGATGGTGTTCGGTCACTGTGCCATGCTCCAGACTCTACACGGTCTTGCTTTTCAAAGCACTCTTGCGGCCGCTGATGAGCCTGGCTCTTGGGAGTTTTGAGCCGCGAGCACTTCGGCAGCTGTAGCGTGCTCGCAGTTTGCACTGCAGTCTGTGGGCGACAGGCAGGTAAACCACCAGTAAACCTGTGTTGACTTTGCGTGTTCAGGGTGCAGTCTCACAGTTCCAGAGCTATCGGCAAGCACCACTGCGGGCAGCATCGGAAGCAGCTCATCTCAGTGATAGCGCTCGGGGTCAAAGCCGTACCTGCAGGAGAAATCTGCCCTCGGCAATCGGAAGACCGAAAGCGAAGGAGTGAGATTCTCCTTATGTTCTTTGCCCGACCGACGCCCTCCTGTCAGAGGCAGAGGGCACTTCAGAAACCATCCTTCTCTGTAGGCGAGGCCGAAACCATGCTTGTTCATGTGGGTCCACCTCCCAAACCAACGAACTGACATCTTTTTCACCGCTGATGCCAAGCTGCCTCTTGTTGCCACGGGCAAATCCCTCCGTGATGCCCCGGAGACGGATCCGATTGCGCCCAACATACCTCGATATTTTTGGTTGGAAGCATCGGGAGGGCGAAGAGGAGCATTGCCCCTAGAAGATGAGGCGGGGGCTTGTTGATTGGAATACTACCTCTGACACCCATGTTCTCGTAGATCGCCTGCCAACAGGCAAAACTTGCGGCACAAGGAAGCAGAACTTCGGTTTCTGGCCTTGTACACACGGGTATTCACCTCGCTCTTTTCGAAGGCCTTCCTCGCCAGCCAATCCCTGCGTGGGCAAAGACAAGAACTTTCGGGCCGCTCGGGTTCCCCTGACACAAGCCGGGCAGTTCCACCGTCTGATGTGATGCGTGTAGGACGGGAAGCCCACGGGAGTCCTTAGCCGCATGCATAGCCTGAGCTACCCTCGTGCCACGCATGCCGTGCATGCCTTGCATGCAAGCTGCTGCTGCAAGAAGGGTCCAGGATTACGGGCTGCCATTGCAAGAACCAGCCGACACCAAAAAGAAGGCTTCCAAAGCAGGCTTCCTTAGCCGTTTGACTTGATGATGCAGTGTGCAACGCATGGGCTTCCCAGGGCGCGCTGCATGGAGAGCCGGAACAACACCAGGCAGCTCAAGGGTTGCAAAAAGCGAAGGCTCGCGGCCCAGGTTGCAACCGTTGCGAGGGCAGAAGGTCATGCACTTTTTAGGGCTCCCGGGGGAAGCTGCGCGTGCTGCTGCGCCTCGAAAAGTAGTCCCAGCAGGCGTTCGGCTTCTTGTGGCTGTTGTTTGTGACAATGACACAACCTGCCAGGACGCCCTACGGATGTGGTTGAATGCGGGCAGGCTGAGGCATCGCACGGCTGTGTGCATTGCATGAGACAGCCGTGTTCACTCGCCTCAGCTACCCTGGACATTTTCAGGCTCGACAAGGTCTCCAGCTTGCCCGGACACCCCATCAAGGCCCAGATGCGGATCTCTGCACAGTCCGCGCTAACCCCGCTCTGTACACTGTGGTCAGCTCATCGTCACTCTGTACACTGCGCTGCTCGCGACTTTCACGGGTCTACGAGAAAACGCGTCAGCTCCCGTCATCTCGCCCATCCTAGCAAACACAAAGGCCATGCGATGCGGCCCAAACTGACGGGGCCCGGCGGTCCGACCTGCGGGGTCCTCTCCTGGCTCTCGGACATGGAAAGAGCCAGTGCCAGCTGCAGGTCCTCTTCGGATTTCTACACGCTGCTCGGGCTCCATGTCTCGTGGCAAGATTTCCGGCAGATGTCTCAGTTCTACTAGTATCTTGCTGGTGGTGATGACTTTCTGCAGCTCTGTGGGCATCCGAAGACCGATCGACTTCATTCTACACGGGCTTGGCGTAATGTTGAGGTCTGGATCACCGGTCCGCATTTGCTCAAGTTGTGCAAGGTACCATGCAGCAGACAGTCACAACGGCGAATCAACACAAAGGGCTGTCGGGGAGTATGTGCAAAAACTATCAAGCTGTGATTGCGGAGCCTTGGGTGTTTGCGCAAAAATTCAACGACATCGAGTCCTGTGTGACTCAATGCGCAAATGCTGCGTCCAACACATTGGCAGCAACCACCTTGTTCAGAGGTTGCTTGGTCCTGCAGACCTTCAAAGCTTCGTTCTGGCTCGCGTCGGAGATGCGTTATAGACGACATACTCGACTAAATGACGTGCTGTATGAATTTACGGACATGAACAGATGAGAGGCGATTTGGATTTGGCATGACCCTTCGAAGAACACGAACAGGTCTGATGAGCATGCGGCAGATGAGTATTGAACTGTCTGTTGACTGAAGGCCGATTGGTTCGCTGAAGCCTTTCTGCGACATCTTCTCGGAGATGCTAGGCACGGCGGTGAGCATGTCCATTCCTGTCTCAAACTGGAGACATTGTCTTCACGAGCGGGGGTCGGTGAGCAAGGCGACATCATCAGTCCATTCTTCCTTGCCGGTCTTGAAGGTGTGGAGAGCATGCGTGTGTGATGAATGCATGCACATTTAGTATGACAAACATCCCAACCCGATACGCCGGTGATCTGATGTTATGAGTACCTGCAAAATTGTGGCAGTTGGAAAGCTGTTTGACACCCCCCTTAGCTGGCACAAGGCGCCGAACTCACAAAGCGAACCTCTTCAAAGGGAGCCCGAAGGAACTGGAATCCGCCGCCCAATCACACGCACGGTCCAAGTACAAGATATCCAGACATCAGTAGTAGAAAGCCACTCGAAAAATTTAAGCAGTGCTGGCAAACTATTGCAACCGCATGATAACATCTGCAGCATACATTGCATACATTAAGTATGTGCTCGCGGATGTTGGATTTCTCGGGTGTACCGCCCACGCAGCACAGCTTGTGCAGAATGCTTGTTCAAAACCGCCGAAGAGACAGTCTGGCAGACCTCCGACAGGGACGACTGAAAGGCTTCACTTATCTTTTCCTCTGTCTCGTTGTCTCCGCTGGAGTGGGACGGTGATGAGAACTCAGATGAGGGGAAAGATTCAGACGAAAACGATGTCACGCGGGCTCAGATGATGAAGATGAGATGGGGGCGTGGTTGCTGGACCAGAATCCCACAAAAGGTGTGTCACAGCGCTTTTGGCTCGTAATGACAAGGGTAACAATGCACAGGCGGGCGAATCCGAGGTGGATTTTCTGCAACGGAAAGTGTTGAATCCAGCGCACGAAACAACTGGTGCAATCGCAAACGTTGCTGCGCCACGCAATTCCTCGCAACACCAGCACTGAGACAAGGTTGATAGGCAACTCATCTGGTTTCACGACCCGCTCCAACCACAAGGCAGCTAACGTCCTCGTCTGAACTGTCACCATTGACCAGCTTTCGCTTCTGCCGGTCCAGGCGAGCCTGGTTGCGTTGCCGCTCCTGTGCAAAGAGACGTCGGTCCTCTGTCCTTCCTGCCCCCAGGCCGGCATCTGGCTCCTGCTTACGATCGTAGGCCAAGTATTCGCGGAAACTCATGCGGTTCCTCGGCTCGTGCAAGCTCATCCTTTCGAAATTTCTTGCCTCAAAGACCTGAGCGTGCTGCGTGAGCTCCGGCGCTAGCAGGCCCTGGCATCTCGCAGCTCAGCGGCCAAGACCTTTCGCCTGCTCAAGGGCCTTCCGAGTTCTTTGCTCTTGAGGGTGGTGGACCAGCGTCGAGGACGTGACCTCAGGCCCGCGGCGCCCTCTTCGGCCTTTGGCGGCCTTTGCCGGCCCCGGCCTGCGCGGCGGACTCCTCCGGGTCACGCAGCCGCTGGCTCCGGCGCACGCTGGAGAGGGCCCCGGCCTGCAAAAGAAGAGCGCCAAAAACCACGACCTGCCCGGAAGAGCTTGGGCGAGCTGGAGTGGCCTCTGAGGTTTGCTCTCTGGCTCCATCGGAATCGGAATCCTCGACAACTCTGTGACAAGCTGTCGAGGGGAAATTGGCGTCCAGGCCTCCTCAGTCCTCTTGCGCTTCCCTGCGAACACGGAGGTCTACATCTACCACCAACCAGTGCCCTTCTTTGCAGAGCTCCCTGCAGCAGGCCTTTGCTCTTGGCCTTGGCTTTGGGCTTCTCGACCTTTGCAACCTTCTCGGCCTTCTCCTTCAGCTTCGGCGACTTCGGCTTCGGCTTCGCTTCCTTCGGCGGTCCTTCCGCAAAGACCCGGTCCCAGTGAGGCTCGGTGCGACCGTCCACTCAGCCGGCCTCGCTTCTTGGGCGTGGCCTCCTTCGCACTCTCCACCTGGTCGCGTGGAACCTGAGAACCAATCAAAAAGGGGTGAATCTACAGCTCCATGGTACACTTCTGTCTTTGAGTGTTGCGATGTGGCCAAATCTACGACATGCTTCTGGGGCATCTCTCTGAAAAAATTAGCATCTTGCCACAAGACGCATCCCAAAAAACAAAGGACGAAGAAAACATAGTTTCGCAGTCCGAGAAGCAACGGATTCGCTTTCGAAAGATACGAGAATTCGCCGCGGCTGCCTCTGCGGCCGTGACGAACGGTCCCAGTGTTCAAGTTTGGACAACAAACGACGTTCATTTCTGTTTCTGGGTTTCTGCAATGACTTTGGAACCAGCACATGATATATGCTCACGAACTCACTGGGGGACACCGTGGTGACAAGAGCCCAACAGCTCGAAGGACCTGTTTGCGGTGTGCCAGCCATTTCAATCACATCAGCCAACGAATGCTAGACTCATTGTTAAACTCGCTCGAGGTATGTACTTCACTGTTGTGCTTTGAGTGCTCTAGGGGAAAACTGTGAAGCTTCCGCGTAAAGCACATTACAACGGCGGGACAGGCAGCGGCAAGTCCGGTGAGACCCAACCCGCATTTTGCAAGATGCAGGTCTGGTAACTTGACAGCGGTCTTGGGAAATCAGTGTTTTTTCGACGGCTGCGATACAGGGTTGCTAAGGCAGGGCCTGTAATTCCCCCGGAGCAAACGTGAACCAAGCAGTGCAACCTTCAGTTCCTACCCATCCTAACGCTTAGGGGCGATCGGTTCGGGAGCCTTGTTGAAGGTTGAGAGATGTGATCGGTTTGGGAAGGGTCGTGGAAGTCTACATGGGGTTTTGGGAAGTCGGCTGGGGTGTGCCCATAACGATGAGGGAGACCCATGCCCCGTGAAATTGAGAATGGGTGGATGTTTGTGAACTGCGTATTTGGCCCACGACCGCCCCAAGCTACCGAAATGAGGGCACAGCGCACAGATCCCGGCGACTTGCGTTAAGTATCGTGAAACTTGGCAGCTTTAGTTTGTTTTTCGCACAGTTGGGATGGCGTGAAGCATGGAACTCGGGACTCCCTCCTCAAGTGCGGGAACGACCGAATGACGACAAATCGCGCGGAATCATGCCCAAAAATGCCTATCAGGACTCTATGTATCAGGTCGAATCATGTTGGACCCGCGGTTTCAGGAGGTCGGGGCCCGACTTGCGGATGAATCCAAGCTCCACAACATCGCAACCACAAGGCACGTATTAGTCTTATCGAGTTCATGGGCGGGGCACACTCGTGGGGCACACTCGCAACATTTCGTGCGCGTGGCAATTTGTGCGTAACTTTCATGGACAGGCTGGGACATGACGTAACATCTGCAGGCCAACCTAGGTTAATGGGCAGGTGTTGCTTTGCTTCGTGGTGGGTCAGTTATGCTATGGAAATGTGTCGAATGTGTTTTTCGGCCGTCCAAATTGCATTTTTTGGCTTCCTGCATTGCTGAGCGCTTGTTGCAAGTGTCAATCGTGCTAGGTTGTAGTGCCATCGTCTGGCTTTTAAACTTGGTTCGTTCTGAGCGCTGAAATCCAAACCTTCTAGCACCGTCTCCCACACGCTTTCTCCAAACCCCCCATTCCACTGACTTCCAAACCCCGTTTAAGGACTCTCTTGAAGCTTAGTTACACTATGCTTCACGTTTGAACCGGAGTGCCTGGGGTGCACCACAAAGCCCTGCCCTGCCAACGTGCTGCCCTGAAACTAGCGGCCATAAACGCCATAAACTACTCGAATAAATTTCCGAAGCCCATAATGCAAGAAGCTCGCACACCTCTGGCCGCCAGCCTTGAGAACACAACACACCATGCGGAAGTCGCCATACCGATGATGCACAACAGTCGCTCCTTCAAACCCCCGCCACGCATGCCAAATGCCGAATACAAAGCTGCGAGCAGGAGCCATCCACTAGGCCATGGCGGATAATCAGCCATGCGGTAAACGAAACAATGCAAAAAGCAAGGCAATCAAGATCGAACTACGACTGTACTGGGTGCTCTAGTTTAAGCTAAAGCACGACAACCCAGGCAATAAACCTTTGCCAGGAGCCATACAAAACACCTGAGGTGCGAACTCTTGCATAAACTCAGACAGCACAACGAAAGCATTTCCCTCGCAATCCCTCGTAACCTCGTACTTCTTGACACTGTCTTGCTGCTCTCTGTACCGGAGGCGCCCATTTCCAAAAAAACATTGCGGTGCAGTAATGCCCAGCAGCCTGTGCACGCACATGACCGAATAAGTGATCCAGTGGCCGCAAATGAGCATTTGACACCTAAGCGATTGCCCGGCTTGCGATTTTGCGCCTGCCGAAACAAGCTAGTTGTTTGCAGTATGTTTTCAAGATCATCCACGACACTTAAATAAAGTTCTGGGGATGGTGACGCAGATATGCTGTGAAAGAAGGAGTGGAAAGAAATGAAGCGGGTTGTGCACAATATTGCTGTGGTCATGTCGACGCGGCATTCGCACAAGTCCTCATCTTGCAAAGTCCAAGAGGATCGAGTTTTCTTGTGCTCTGGGAAACCACAGCTGTTCACACAGCACAAGACATCCTCTCCGCAACAACAAAAGGGGGCACGTGTAGCCCGTACACACACACACTCACACACACACGCACGCACGCACATGGACCTTCTTCGAATGGAGAGGCGAGGGCAGGCTGCAGGTGCCAGTCTTACAGAAACTCACTCGACAACCGTTCTGGGCTGGCGGCGGCGCGGAACACCACCGCATCGGTGCCACTGCCCAGTGTCAGCAGCGTGTCCTTCCAAGAGCGGTCTGCGCCATGGCGGACAACGAGAATGCCAAGCCTGTCCTCGGGCTTCACCAGCTGCTCCCCCAACAAGAACGCAGCCTCCCCTGCCGGAACTTGGTGGTGGTCACACCAGGCCTGAATAAGAAGCCACGATGCATGTTAAACAGGGGCTTGGCCAACCGTGCCTTCATCATCTTACCCAGCGGTGTCGTCATGCGCCTGGCCAGAGCCACCATTGCACGAGAGAGCGAAATAACCAACAGGGAAGGCGTACACACTGAAGCACAGCTCGTTGACGCCGTCGGCGCCCTCGGCCAACACCTTCACAGACACCTGCCCATGCAGACCAGGTCGCAGCTAGGCAGCTAATAGGAGCACGTTTGCAACAACGGCCTTTGCCGACGATTCCTGCCACTTGCTCAACTCGAGTTCCCATAGCTCCACTCCATGCGAAACACCACACAGAATCGCTTTGGCGAACGCCTCGAGCTCTGCCGCCGCAGCAGGCGGCGCCGCAGAAGGAACGGCA